GGAGGCCGCGGGAGCCGCGCCCGGCCTCGAGCAGCGCCGCGTGCTCGGAGCCCCGCACGGGGCTCCCCGGGAGCCGCCGCCCCCAGGCCGGGCAGCGGGCACGGGCCCGCGCCCCGGGACCCCTGCCACACAGCACGGCCCGCTCCCGGCAACGTGGGCGAGCGCCGGCAACGGGGCTCGCGGCTGGCACCTCTGCCCAAAGSGTACCTGAACTCGGGCAAAACCCAATGTCGTTCTGTTTTGAGGTTTGTTTGTTYGTGTTGCTGCCCAAAAGGGCATAGCCCTGCTGCCAGGTCGTTGGATTTCACTCTGCTCTTGTTGCAGTCCCCAGCAAAGTTCTCATATTTATTCAATGTTTAATGCACTGGAGGAATGCGTGGTTTCACATGGACYTTTTTTACTGKTTTTTTTTTTTCCTCTTTATCACAAGACAAAGTTGAAACCAAGGGACTGGAATGCCTAAGAATAAATTTCGCCTTCTGAAAAAAGTTAGGTGAAAAACGCCAGCTCCCGCCGTGCCCTCTCCGCAGGAGGCAGCTGTGGTTGGGATGCGGTGCTGCATTGGCAGTGGCAGGTGCCCAGTTACACGTGTGCACGAGCAACGTGTTGTGCTGGGAGGCGAAGGGCTAACCATGCGTGCGGCGCTCCCGGGCTCCGAAATCGTTTCCACGGGCAGGTTTGGACGTGTTATTGTTCGTGTGCACCGAGGCCCCGCGTGCCTGAGCTGCGGCATCAGCGCCGCTGGATTCTGCTCTCTTGGAAGTGACTTGGGCCCAAATCTGGGCAACAAGTGTGGGGCTGCGATCCCTGCGTGCTGGGGTAACCTACTGGCTGTGCAACTGCTCACGGACAATAAAGTATAGAAAGGACCTCATGGTAAGCTGCTAGAGAGCGACCTGTTAAGCTGTAGAGCAGAGCCCAGGATGGGTTTTGATCTGTCTGGCTTTTGAAAATGTTCTTGGCCGATGATTTCCCCGATTGGTGTGGTTAAACACTGTAGGCTATAGAATGGGTTATCTCCTCCTACCCGTTTTACCTGGTCTAAGTCTATTTGGAATAGTCCATAAGGTTTAACACTGATCTGCAACTCCCATGCCAGGCAAAGAATCGGATGTAATTTCATGGAAATCAATGAATATGCACCGAGATGGAACTATCAGCAGAGAAATGGTCTTGTGGTGCTTTGTATTTGTCAAAAATAACTGTTATAAACATTATGCACTCTTTTTTTATATTTTTTTTTCCCAAGAATAATTACTCTATGTCTTACTATTACTCCCCATATTTCTTCTGTCTCAGCAGCTTTTAGTTAGGAATGTGAAGGTAGCAGTGTTGGAATGGGAACTATTCTGGGGAAMCTCTTTGTTCCAGTGACTAATCTCCTGGTCTTTAATTCCATGTTGTTAATCTTAGCTTGTGCCTGTACACACTGTTAGAATTTGGCAATGACTGTTTTCCTAAACAAGGCTCCTGAAGGGTATTGCTTAGTGTCACGGGGTTAATTCTAATGACTATGGTTTAAACTGTTGCTCTTTTCATTAATGATATATGTCGCTATCTCTAGGCATTACGGCCCAAGTAAGTGGTATGGAATGTTACATTTCAATTAATTTTGCTGTGCAGACGGGGATTATAGTTGAGGGGTGAGCCTGGCATGGACTGCATGGCTTGTCATGTTTTTCCTGGAGAGAGAGGATCTTGGGGTGAGTCACCATGGCAGAACATGGAGCCCCGAAGGCACAAAACTGGAGCAGTGCGTGATGAGTCAGACCTCGTGTGCTTCACTTGGGTGGTGTGTGGCGTTCATGTGCCAGGTACAGTGCGCTCACTGCGAGTCCAGCAAGCAGCCCACAACTGCAGGAGTTGCTTCAACGCCCCTCTGTCGCTGGGGTGGCTTTTCCTTGGCCGAGTTGGCTCTGCTTTCGTTGAAATGGAAGGTTATTGGATCACAGGGGAAATCAGGGCATATTCATTTGGCAAGCTAATCCGGTCTGCTTGGCAATAAAACTTCGTAGTTATGTCATGGTGCATCCARTCTGACCCAGTACCTACCTGTTTGCTTCATGCTGGAGAGAGGAGTGAGAACAGAGTCACATCTTTGCTGTTGCTGGTGTTCGTCCGTGACAAATGACTTCTGTCCCTTATGGGTGTTGCTGGGGATTGACAGCTTTGTTCCCGAGCCCAGCGGACATCRGTGCTGCCGCTAAATAAATGTAAATAGAAGGAAGTTCTTACAGAGGTGACACCTCAGAAAGATGTTGAGCAGAGAGAGGGAAGACTGCTCACTTGGCTGTTTTCTGAAGCAAAACAAAGCCTTTCATTAGAGGTGTCTTGTGCTAGGCAGCTATTCYGAACTTCCTCGAGTAGTGATCTGTAATAACACCATCTTCTCAAGCTAGCAGAGCATGCAAGTTCCTTKATTTATAATGATTTAGGAATAGATGTTTGAAATTCTGTCCGCTTACAGAGGCAGCACAAGAATGSCTCTTTAGTTGGGCACATGGGGATGAAGGACAGGGGGAAATGATTATGTAATTGGAACGGCCTGGGAGAATGTAATGCATTGGCTTTCCCTCCAGCATCATTGCAAAAGCTGCTAGGGGGGTGAGTTGGAAGCRTACACGGGATTTTTATGTGGAAATCATAGCAGAGCATTATGGATCTTTATATTTTTAAATCTTCAAAGTTTACAGTCACCGTTTTGTGATCATCACAGACATGAGGACCGASGTTGCGGGGTGGGAAGTTGTTCCCTGTCGTGATCCCGTCTTCCTGCATCTCCATACCTAGAGATAGTGTTACAATGAAGACATGTTGGCAAGATGCACCAATTTTAGATCAAAAGCCTACCAGTTCCAACTAGAGCATAGACTTTAATGTTTTGTTGAAGTTATCAGATACACTGACTGTATTCTGTAGGAGCGTAGCTTGAGATGTGGAGAAACACAGTGTGATACCAACACAGGAGAGGTCTGGCAGCCACAGTGGTGGAGGTGAAGTGCAAAGCCACTTGCAAAAATTCTGTGGATATTTTGATGGTCTTCATGTCATAGAGTGGAGGTCACCCAACCTAAGATCTCTTCTGGTGGTGAACAAAGTGAATTCAGARCTGGAAATCCCGGAGAAACTCCTGTCTTACATCTAGGGAAGCAAGGATCTGTGGAGTCGCCGGTGTTTGGATTTCATTACCTTAGACCTGGAGTGTCACGGAGTTGCGAGCTGATCTCCTGTCCCCTTGAAACTGATAATGGTTTGCTCTTGACTTCAGTTKAGTCAGGGGTTTGCCCCAGCACTTAAGATAACTATGACAGAAATATGTGGAGCTCAATCCTTCTCTCATTGCCAGTGACATGAATTTAGCATTTCCTTCCTCACAGCGAAGAGAGGTTACAGCTCTACTGCCTCTCCACAGCACATCCACAACTCCTGGTAGGAGAAAGAATTCCTTTATCCTGTTCCACTGTACTATTCCTAACCTGTACATTTATGCTATAATGTCATGTATCCGTGTATCAACTGTAGTTGTACTCATCATGTGGCAGGTGCCACTGACCGCGGCCATACGTGTATGTGCACTGCAAGGCCCTATAGGGGAAGCGCTACCGCCGCCGGCTTCCATGGTGCAGGGGTGGCATGTGTGCAAGTGTGCTCTGTATAGCCAGAACAGCTTGCAAAAGGGGACGTGGAATTTCTTAATTGTTCAAAAGAGATTACAACTTAACACAATTCCGTCCTATAATACATAAAGTACAAAAATAAAGGCTCTTTTCAGTTAAATCCTCTACCAGATGGATGCCAAAAAGCAGCATAATATCTCAAATGACTTTTTTTTTTTTAATCTTCTTAGCTAGAAGAGATGTCAGAAGAGCCAAGGATGGAGATCTACAAAAATGAAGCAGAAGACTTGTGGAGTTTCTTCATGTAGTGGTGTGGATGTCTCTGCTTCTTTTATTTAAAATGAAATTCAGACTTCAGAAGCACACTTGATTTCCTTTTCTCTCGGTGCTGACAAGCTCTAGTTTAGCTTTGTTGTCTAAAGAGGTAACAGCAATTAAAATGTGATGTGACAGCAACTTCTATAAACTGTTTGGTGATGTCAGAATCCTAACATAAGGAAATCCTTCAACATTATCCAGGGCTTTTCAAAAATTCAGCCAGAGCTTCCCCCTGATCACTAACCCCTCTGACACTGGCCTATGAGAGCAGGCYTGGCTGCATGATGAAACCCCGCTAGAGTCAAGTTATGGTTAAGCTTSTTTAAATAAAAGCCTGATGAAAGTCTTGCCTTTGGGCCTTGGTGGTGAAGAGAGGAGCTGCTGGTTTAGAGCCCAGATTTGCTCGTCATACTTGCAGGTGAATGTGTCCATTGGAAGCAATGAGCCCGTGCTGAACTGTCCCCGTTGGTTGTGCAGAGAAGTGGAGCTGTTTTTGCAGCACGTCCTTGCCAGCCAGGAGAGCTGCTTCCAGTTGCCTTGTTCGCGGTCGAGAAGAAGAGCCCTGTGGAGATGTTCCGAGCAGCCTCTCTCTTGCTGGATCCATGGGCAACTGGAGGAAAAAAAAGTAGGAGATAAATAATGCAGCACTTTCTGGAATGTAATTATTACCAATAAAAGCTTAAGAAAACAAAGCTAAACCCACAAACTGTCTTCCAATGATAGAAAGTAGTGCAAGGGCAAAAATGAAAGATCTACAAGAGCTACAATAAAAAAGGGAAGAGGGAGCAGTAGGAGCRAGCTTGTAGTAGGATCTTCCTGGGAAGAAAGTACTGGGAATCGTACCGAGTGGAGTGTGAGATCTGACACCTGTTGCTCTCATCCTGACCCTCGTTTTCCGGGCAACTCCAGTTCCTCCCTAGGTCTATACGTGTGTGAAAGGAGCTGAACTGTCTTCCGTGGGTGGTCCGCACGTGCCCACACGCCTCGCAGAAGTGCCCCRTGCAGAGGCTCTCCGTGCCTGTGGAGTTTGCTCCCTACAGCAGCCGCGTGCTTCACGGGCGCGCGCGCTCGTGCCGGGTACGAGTTGGGCCCTGTTGGCCTTTGCTCGGCCGCAGAGCCGTGCGCGAGGCAGCGCTGCCTCCCGCGGAGCCCGTGCGAGCGGCTGCCTCCCGCGGGGCCCTGCTGCGCCGCCTCCCCGGGCACGCGGGGCCCGTGGTGGCACGGGCCGGGCGGCCCTGCGTGGCCCCGGTGCCGTCCCCACAGCGGGACCTGCCCGTCCGAGGTGCTGCACGGGCTGCGGGTGCCAGCCGGGAGGAGCAGGGAGCTGCCTCCTCCGAAAAGGTTGCCGAGGTGGGAGTTGGGGTTTTAAAATAATGAACCAGAAAATAGACTGCTGCTTCTGGCGGGGGCAATAAGGCTTTGAAGTGCTCAAATGAAGAATCTGCACTTGCTGCTTTCTGCTTGCTGTTCACAGATTATGTAATAAACAAAAGAGCCTGTTTAGTCTTTTGAATGTGCTCCTTGTTACTGCAGCTGAGAATATGGAAAATGACACTTTAYTGCAGTGAATCCTTTACAAACCGCTCTGAAGTTTCTTACCAGCTTGGATTCGACCGACCTGTTCACTAGTGCAGCTCGAGATCCGTGGCAATCGCTGCATGCCGTGGTTTTCATTTGGTATTAATTACAGAGTGCAGTGCTTCGTTGAGCAAGAGTTGCGTGGAGCGCAGTTAGCGAGGGGGAACGCAAGAAACCTTTTCCTGCAGGTACYAACTCTAATGCTTCCAAACCTGTGTGTAGCTGGCGAGGCCCGTTCCATAGATGCTGCTCAGCTCCCACATTTATACYGTCCATGTAATCACTGATGGTTAGATGTTCCTGAGTCTTTTGAAGAGCTAAACACTATTTGCTACCTGTACAGAAGGGACACAGCAAAGCAAAGTGGCTTGACCACAGTGGGATTTGATTGCAGAAGTGCATTTCCCTCCAGTCCTCTAATTTTATTAGTCTGACGCTGGGGAATTCCTTGGCCTTGCTGTCTCAGTTCACACAGGTGTCTTGGTTGAAGGTCCAGCTCTCCATGTTTGGGGAGAGCTCTAGGTGGCTGCAGRGTGAATACCAAGGCACTCGCAGCTGCAAATGGATTTAAACTTCTCTTAAAATTCTGACAGGTCTGTGGGCACAGTTTTCCTTGAGCTTTATAGGGCACTCTAAGCTCTGTGATTTTTGGCAGAATCAGTATGAGCCCTGGAATCAATTTATTTCTGCAGAACTATTTTCACCACCCAAATGATTGGAGATTTGGGTGRTGAAATAAAAGTAGGGATTCACCTCTGTTTATAGACCCTTACATGACCTAGATTAGCAGAACCGACTGGAGAAAGAMAGGAAGGAAGGAAGTATCTGTGAGATCTGAGGTACCTCTCTCTTGTTGAAGCTGAAGAGGGGGCAGTGGTCTGTGTGACTCCCAAAYGGAGCTCCGCAGCCGCTGGCCGCCGTGGGCAGCGCGGTGCACAAGCGTCCAGGGTTTGGCCTCAGAGAAGGGACCAGCCTTTGGGGGCCGACCTACCTGCACGGGGTCCAAACGGAGCGAGGTGAATGAAGGGAATGTTCTGGAGGAGGGGGATAATGAGGTTGTTTCCTAGGGCCGGGACTTCAAGAAGGTTGTCAGAGGCAGGTATTTGCTCCTGTGATAGGAATGGCACAACACGCTAGTGCATTCTTAATATAAAACACAGTATATGTTCTGGTCTGCATGTAATGCCTGATGTGCRCACATTCTTATTAATGTTTTATTCTTCTTTAATGTTTCGGACATATCTGCATATCTAATTTTTTTTTTTTCCCCCCTTCTTAAATGGTAGCCTTTTAGAGACAGTTGCCCAGAAAAAGCAGTGTAATTATGGTGGGACTAATTAATGAAAATGAGAGAGTTTTGAATCGTTGATATGGGAATTCTGCAGAATTCTGCATGTTTTATCTGTGCCTACTTAGTCCACATCTAACTCACTTTTGGACAGAGCAGGGGGAATGTGCCCTTTCCTTGGCAAACTTGCCAGAATAAGTCTCAGCTGATTTTTATCATTTTTATCAGTTTTCTTATCACCTACCTGCAGCAGCACAGACACAGCCCTTCAGCAGACTGGAAGAGGGTAAAGGCAGAGAGAGATAGACTGGAGAAGCAGGAATGTTAGAAGGAGAAGGTGGAGTAGAGAGAAATGAGACTGAAAGGAGATGGAGAACAAGGCAAAAGGCAACTGTGACAGAAAGAAAGCAAGAAAGCAGGGAAGGAAGGAAGGAAGAAAGGTAATATTAGAAGTATTACTTTTGCAGTTCTTGTTTCTGTAGACAAATACAGGCGGCAATTTAAAAGCAAACAGTATTTGTGAGCACTTCGTCATGCTAAGCTTAAAAGGCACTTTGCTAATTTTTYTTCCTGACCCCAATTTAATCTAGTTGTATTCAGACTGACCTTATTGTAGACAACTGCTTAAGACTTGCTTGCTTTGCAGAGATAAACAGAAGCTCTTGTACAAGTTGAATAACTTAAAATGCAGCTACTTACTAAATTTCTGTGCTTAGAGGGTCCTTCCTGGGACCAACTAGGGTAGCTCTCCTGTGTGTAGTCATAGGGAATGCTGCTTTGTAGTTTTTGATGGTCTGGGAGCCACATATTATGATTACTGTTTGCATTTGCACTTAGATGATGAGCGTTTTCCTTCTAAAAACAAGCCAGCAGAAATATCTTTTTTTTTTTTTTCTGTGCATTTTAGGGATTTCATTTTTTTCTTTTAACGCATAAAAGTCTATTGTAGGGCTTCCTAAAACTCTCTTTGATTTGTTGTAGGCAAGTGGACTTTTGATAGTGTGCTGGACTATCAGAAAAGAAATGACTGCAGCTTCTTAACCAGCTGCTCTGATCGAAATAATTAATGTAATGGTAGTGGGCTTAGAGAAGCAGTGGGCCATATTACAGTGACTGCAAAGCATGGAAACATACTGTGCCTTTCTGTGGTAAAAAGGCCCTGCCTGGGCTGTAGATCTTAGGAAGAATTTGTGGAGATACTTGAAAGGATAAAGCACTGTATAAATTCCTGAAGTTCAAAGAGAAAATACCACTCAGGATAAAAAAGAGAGCTTAGCCCAGCAGCAGCTTAACCATATATGACAGATCCAGTGCTAAGTCCTGAACCATCAATGCAAATAAAAGCCTCCGGAGTTCTCCTAGTGCCCAAATGGAAGTTGTGGAGGAAAGACCTGGAGAATGGTGACTGTCGAGGTGTAGAGGGAAAAGGCACCGCTTGCCAATAGACGGATCTGGAGCCCTGGCACTGTAAACAACAACAGCGAAAGCTTAAGACAGTTGTACARTTAGATCTGCCTTGCATTCCCCGTGAAAATTACTTAAAGATATTAATATGTATTTGTCGGTATTACTGTGTAAATGGTGTGCCAGCAATAAAATTGGGAACTACGCAGGTCCGCARCCCTGATTGTGACGAGATTGGTATGGGTTGCCCCAGCTTTGAATGGTAACTTGGAGGACAGAGACTTGCAGAGAGCACAGGGTGTGCAGGTACTGGCTGTGTCGTGCGGCCACACAGGCCTGGACTCTCCTCGCTCTACTTGCCAGAGTGATGCAGAGTGAACCAGGTGTGGAATTGAAACCTGAGCCAGAGGCTGTGCAGAAGTGAGCCTCCTTCCAGGTGATTTTCTGTGACCTTCTATAATCTCCATATCTGTCCCGGGCTCCATGGTGTCCAGAGGACACACCACGTGTGTAAGCCAGTCACTCGTGTGGGCACCCACCTGAATGGACCCAAGGACCTTTTTCCCACATGTGGCCATGGGGCCACATTGAGCAGCTCTCTCTGGCATCTCTGGGGCTTTGTGGTGACCATGTGTGGCTCGTGGCTCCCCACACCATCTCAAAAGCCATTCGCTGCAGGTGTCACGAGGAACCATCCAAGCCTCAGAGGCTGTGGTGGGCACAGGGACAGCTTTTGTGATTGCCCCGTGGGGAATGGCGGAGCGCTGCTTCAGGAGATGTGTCCACTGATGCCGGGTAATGCTTCAGGCTACTTACCCAGCTCTTGCAGCCTTCCTTGTAAGTAAAGAGAACATCCTGAAGGTAGGAGATGATGCTGTGTTCAGAAGTGAACTGAATATGGACRTTGAGCAGTAAGGGCAGTGCCAGCAAAGGTGTGTGAGACCATGGTCCCTGCTGAGAGGCCTTCTTCTGGCTTTTGGCCCTTGCTGGTCACTGCAGGCACCAAAGTGGCTTGTGCTGCTTTTGTTCACGTGTAGGAGAGGGAGCAGCCATGGAGCCACATCTCTGTTTTGAAGTTAATCTGTGGATTAAAGGTCCTTTTTCCCTACAGTTTTGTTTTGTGGAAGACCTGCAGCGATGTATTCTGAGCAATCAGAGGTGTTTGAATGTCCCCTGTTTTTCTGAAGACGCAGTATCCATCAACATCTGTAACATGATTTGATGTAATCCTTTGGATTTTCTCCTGTTGGAAAAGCTTGC